TTATTATTATTATTATTATTATTATTATTATTATTATTATTATTATTATTATTATTATTATTATTATTATTATTATTATTATTATTATTATTATTATTATTATTATTATTATTATTATTATTATTATTATTATTATTATTATTATTATTATTATTATTATTATTATTATTATTATTATTATTATTATTATTATTATTATTATTATTATTATTATTATTATTATTATTAATTTATTACAGTGTCAGCACCAGTATCACCGAAAAGTGTCACATTTGAGGATGAATTATTATTCACGACAAAACCGGATCGTCGTGGTCAAAGTTTAGCACCACCTCCAACATTTTTAACCGATTCAACAGAAACAATTACACCTACACAACAAGCATTCATCAATTTTAATTATGATGTATCACAGAGTTCGGGCGTAAATTCTAGGCATAATGTAAGTTACCAGCAATGTTTAGAAGCAATTTATTCGATCGAGAACATTTTGTTCCTTTTCATTCCTAGTAAAACGTATTGTTGTGTAATAAAAGATATTCTAATAATCAATCGGTAATGCTATTCTTAATCATTCATTTGCATAATTGATAACTAATACATAATATTTGATATAAAATATGTTATCCTAAATTAGTATACCTTTAAATTACAGTCATCAATTCGTTCAAGTCGTGATGCATCATTAGCTTTGGATGAAGCTACTCATGATTTATTACGTCTTTCTTCACAATCACCATCAATTTGGTATAGCAGTAGTTCATCACGTTCAGTACATGCTGCAGATCGTATCCCAAAATCAGCATCTACCACATCAATGAATAGAGTTATTAAAACAAAGGTTAAATTTTTTCAACATTTAAATTTAAAATCTTGCAAAAATTTACTACCCAAAAATTAACTAATTTTCATAAAAAGCTCATAAAATTTTCAATCATATCAAATATCAATCGATAATGTCATGCTTAAACATTACTTTATTTTGTCATATCAAATATCAATCGATAATGTCATGCTTAAACATTACTTTATTTTGTATTTATTTGACAAAAAAAAAACAAAAAAAAATTCATTTTAATTCTATTCTTTACAACAATTACTTCAATTTTTGTTTGCTAAAAAATTAAAAAAATTAAATTATTAGGTATAATAGCAAGTTAAATTATTTTTAGGATGGTGAAATGGTAAAGTTGTTAAATACATTTCCATGTGATACTAATCGATTAAATGATCATGTTCCTAGTGATAAATTAACATATGTAGATGATGAAGGACGGCAACATCAAACAGTTACTGTTTATACTAATCAAAAAAGGTTACTATCCTTTTTTTTTTCTTTCTCTCTCTTTCTCTTTCTCTCTCATCTATTCAAATCTTTCTCCTATCTTATGTATAGCTTTTCTTTCTTTTTCATTTTTTTCTCGTTTATTATCACTTGAATAATATTTTATTGAAAAAAGAAAAACAAAGGTTAAGTTGATAATTTACTTCATTTTATCATCTAATATCGTTATTTACAGACAAGGACCACCGATAGTTCGAACAACAGTGGAAGGAAAATTAAAAATGGAAAAAGTTGTTGGGGCAGATCTTATATCCGTTGAACATTGTACGTGTAGTGCGTGGACGATACGTGATATTATTACCCATTATAAAGTAATCTTATTTTCACATTTGGCGTCAGTTGTTTTTTGAAAATATAACGAAATGATAATATTATTTTCCAAAGCTTTTATTTTAATAAATTTTATTTATTTGTTTTTCTTTTTTTGTTTGTCTTTTTCCTTTCTTCTTTTTTTTTCTTTTTGGTATATCAAGTTATATGTTTTAATTAAATTAAATGGCAATGGTAATGGCAGTAATAATAATAACTACTGAATAGTTATTTTTATTTACAGGTAAAAACTACACTAGGAAATCGTATGTTAATCATGGAAGAATCGTTAGAAGATGAAAATCGTTTGGGAGATTATAAAATGAGTCTTTATGAAGATGGACAATTAAAAACACGAAATGTTGCTGATTTTCAAATACCATCAAATATGGTAAGTATGAGTGTTTTACTTAATTTATAAATTCATTAACAAAAAAAAAAGAAAAAAAAGATGATCAATAACGATTAATTAATCGTTATTAAAGATTGATTGAATCAATCAATCTTTTTCATTCTTTTAAAATTTGACTGAAAATTCGAAAATTTTATCAAACTATTAAATACCAAATATGAAATTGTCAAAATATCAAATTATCAGATTTAAAGGTTAAAAAAGAAAAAAAATTGGGTAGGTATTATCCATATTTTTTGAAATAGAGAATTCAAAATAAAAAATTTATCATTTTTTCAGGATAAAGCAAAATATCTATCATTGCTTAGTCAACGATTATTGCAAGATATGGAAACATTGAATAAACATGAAGAACGAAAAACAACAACACGAGTTGAAGTAGAAGTAATTGAGAATGTGACAAAAATATTGAAAACATATATTATTGGAGAGCGTAATGATTTACTTCAAGATCTCTCGGTCGATCAAGGAGCAATTGATGCAACGGATGAATTCTTGCATAGTAATTATCAGCATAAAATATTGGCATCATCAAATGATCATGTGGATGTATTAAAAAATGAAACTGATATTAAATTTCTCTTAGAAGGTCATCATTATGAAGATCATTTTCAAATACGACCCAATCAGAAAGCTGCTTCAGAAGCAACAACAACATCTGAGAGTAATACAGAGAGATATGTACCATTACCTTGTATTTACATTAATGTAGAATGTACGTTGAAACGTATGGAAGATCATTCATTCAATGAGGTTAATGTTGCAGTACCAAGCGTTTTCTCTGTTGTATTATCACTGATACGTGAACGTATCCGTTCACAATTACCAAATCTTATTAGCTATGGTATGGAGCAACATGGGAAACAGTATTCCGGTGAAACAACAATCCGACGTTTGCATCATTTTGAATCCACCGATTCAACTGATGAATTACAGACGACAATAATTCACAATCAAAAAGAACCAAGTTTCTTATTTGAGAAACCTCAGATAATTGAACCGGTAAAAATTCCTGTATTAAATATTACAGAATTAGATCTGCGACGAATGGCTGATACATCTGCAATTTTGGCAAATTTTGCAATACCACGTACTGTTCAAAATCAATTGGATATTGAACATCGTTATGAATTTCATGAAGCTCGAGGTGGCAATTATGGTATGCAACAGAAAGGACAACATTTTGAAGGTGAAATGATTCTCAAAAAGAAACGACGAATTTCACTGGAATCAGAATCAGCTTCAGAAGAGGAAGTTAATTGTGGACAAACATATTTAAATTTAATGAAACAAGAAGCTCGTGGAGAATTTGAAGTTGTAATAGTTATTTCAAATGATCAGCGTAGCTCTCCAAAGCATTTTCAAGAAACTCAACCCAATGAAATTGTCAATCTAATCGCACAGATTAGCACAGATGGTAAAAAGGAAGAGGTAGTTGTTACGCTTGCAACTAAAATTACTGATAAGGAAGTATATGTGGCACAAGAGATGAGTACTGTAATTAGCAATGCAATGATAACAATGCAGAAAATGGTACATTTGGATGATATTTTTCAACAAATTGTTCGAAATTGGAATGACAAAACAGTTGAACGAACAGATGCTAAATTTTGGACATCCATTGAGGAAGAAGTGCAAGTTTTATTGACATTTGTATCATCTATAGATGCATGTCAAGAAGCATACTGCATTCGTGCAATACCATATATGTTACATGCATCATTCACCGGTGAATCGTTCTATGCAGAAGATGAAACAGTGGTAATTTACATGCAAAATAAACTAGCCACCGAAATGATGATGTCTTCTGATGATGTACGTCAAATTCCACGATTCTCTGGTGGACATACACTAAAAACAAAGGCTACTACGGAAGAAACAAGTATGATTATGTTAAGTATAGGATATATTGGTAAATACTCAAATGCGCTTATGGTGGAATATATCGTGCAAGATGTTTGCAAGCAGAAAACGCAACTTTACTCACGAGCTAGTCGTGAGAGTGAACATGTTTCAAATGTATCATTGAATCGTGGCGCAAAAATGCTAGCTGCAAGTACACGATTATCAACATGTATGAAGCAAAAAGAACAGATGACAATTACTGAATTTGGTGATGAAAAGGAAAATGTTGCTATATTGTTACAACGTGCAGGTATTATGCATGGTCAGGTGCAAAATGAATGGCCCGAAGCAGTAACAGGTAGGTTAAATACCACTATTACTACTACTATTACAATTACTACTACCACTATCACTACTACCAATACTTTTAATATCTTTAATACTATCACCGACTCTTTCGGTGCTATCACAAACACTGATTTCTTTTTAAGCACTGATTTAACAAACACAAATACAACAACTAAACATTTCCACTTATTTAATTTCAAAACTATTTTACCAACACATAATATGGTACAAAGAATTATTCCGTTCATTGATACCATTACCGTTTCCATATATCTTTCCATAGAGAAACAACAGATTCCAGAAAATTCTGAAATTAGGATTATACCGGAATTGTGTAATATTGATGAGATTAAGCAACAAATAAATGAGAAAGAGGAAACTACTTTACAAATGCTCACTAAAACAACGAGTATATCTAAAGATGACAATGAAGGATAAATGGAAGAAATGTTTGATACTTTTTGGATAGCTCGTGATATCGATATATATATATATATACATATATATGAAGCAAGCATTATGATGCAAAAATCAACGAAACAAACAAGTTTAAATGTGGGGGCAAAAAAAGAAAATCTTCTAAAATTACAGGTATACCAGTGACGAAGATAGAAGGCGTAAATGATATGCCTAAAATGTCGCCTGAAGATAAGCTTCGAATTAAGCAGGAGCGAATGATACCTATTAAACAGATTCCAGGGGTGGATTCAAGTAATATAAATAGCTGGAAAGAGCAATTCATTGATGAACAAGAAGAACGAATCACTAAAATTGATTCCGACCGAACGTTAATTGATTATCCATTCAGAAATGCAGAATACGTAAATGATAATCGTAAAATGACGGAAATTTTCGGGGAATCAAGTTCATATTTACAAAATGCATTACACAATGTAAGCCAATGGGTGGAACAAACGTCACAATTTAATGAGGTACGTGAAGAATCTGCAACTTCCTGGAATGCGATTGATAGAAGTTATAAGCAACAAGCTGAATATCAACAAAAAAATAAACGGATGTATTTGCAAGAATCCCAATACGATGAACAACCAGAATTGCATACTTTTCCTCGAGTAAAAAATTCAAAAAGAAGATGTATAAAAGCACGATTTGAAGAGAATAAATTCGAAAAGGAAGCATTGAAAGGAAAACTATATAATAGTAAAAGTGAAACACGTGTAACGATGTTGAATGCAGGCTTTGATCTTGATACAACACTACTTGCGACACCAGAAATGGAAACTCAATTAACATTCGCAAAAGATCGTGACATGATGACGACGACGACGACGAGTGAATATTTCTCTGATGAACGAAGTTGGAATGCTACCACAGAACCATATTGTAAACAACGAAAGACTCATGCAGAATATGTATCTAAATCATCCAGTGATTTAGTTGAAACTTCATTGGAAGAGAATTCTGAAACATTCGATGAAATAAGCCATATTTCAGATATTGCACACAACCGGAATATAAAACATTCCGAAATAGTAGATTTCGAAAAAACCAGTTTACAGATGACTCGTTCTTTGATCAACAGTCTTGATGCATCTACATTAAAAGAATTTCTTGTAACAACAGAGGATGAATTCAGTATTGTTCCGGAAACATATAATTGTGATGTTATGGTTGGAAAATCGGAACAGTATGAAGCATCTTCATTTGCATTCTCAACCGGATATCATGAACAAATACAACCAAAACATGCTGTAGAGGAAGAAGTGGAAAGTTTAGTTGTTAAGAAGAAGGAAGAAGGAGATTCAAAAATCGATGAAGCCAGAGAAAAGTATCGTGGACTGATGTCATTTCGGGAAATAACTGTAAGCCATGTTCAAGATCAGGTCCCATCATTAGGTATCGAGTGCCAAAATGAAATATTTCAACAAACAACTAATAGTATGACAGAAACTATGAAAACCATTAAGCACAAGTTGCCAGAACCAGAATCAAAAATATCTAACGAATATTTAAGCCTAAGCACAGGAACAGCAGCAGAAATATACAAGGAAAAAGTAGAAGATAAAATCAGTAAAGTAGATTACTGTCAAACAACTCCGCAAGTTGTCTCCTTTTCACCGGAAGTAATTAGCAAAGTATCAATTCTGGAACATGAAATAAGTCAAACTGATACTTTCGATAAAATCACACGATCAAATAAGCAAGCATGGAGTGAAAAGGCACCAATAAGTCATGACTTACAGATGTCAACAAAGAAAAGGTTTGAAGAGATTAACGATCAGATTAGTTATGAAGAAAGAAACACTCGATATGATGCTATTGTGCACTTTCCACCTAAACCAATGAAAAAATCACTTTTGGAAGAGATTGTTGTAACCGAAAAAGCATCATTAATTAAGCATGATGAAATGGGTGCTGTAACAAAGATACCTGAAACGAAAATATTGCAGCAACAGGTAGAAACGGTGAAGGAATTTGAACAGGTAAAACAACATATTTTGACAGAAGCGGAAAGTATTGAACGTCAAATGGTAACAGTTGGTACCTACCGAGAAACGGAATTCCTTGAAGAAATGAAACAACTGAAGAGAGAAACTAAAGGATTAACAAAAATCGAACAGGAGTTAAAATCATGTGAAAATGAAGAAGTAACAAAAATAACGGAAGAACTCACTGCGCAACTGATCGTTATGGAACCAATGAAAAAACCTGAATTATTCAAACAGGAAAATATGCAAGAAACCCTATCGATGAGTGAGGCAAATATCAACAGAATGGAAATTTGAGGAATATGCAAAAAAACAAATTGAAAGGAAATTTTATCGGGTTGAACATGGAAGCATGAATGCAGAAGTTGATGGTATAATTGAAATAGATCGAAATCTTCAAATTGCAACAACCGCAACCACTTCGGATGTAACTCAACTGGAATTGGAATTGCAAAAAGCGCCAGCAATTGAAGATGTTATCCAAGAGAACAAATTGGTAGCAATGGATGCTATCGAAGAAACAGAGATGATTTATAATTCTGATTTGAGGTATGCATCTAATCAAATTGTTAGTACTGATAAATTGGTAGATGTGATAAGCATGGAAGCCACACATGAAAATTTGGTAGCAACAAAAGCTGAACAACGAAATACAACAGCAAATTATCAAACTGTTGTGCGTGAAGCATCAGTTAATAAAACTGTCAAGGAAAAGGATGTAGCAGCAATTCAAATGATACTTCAAGCAACTCAAGCAGAATCAATTGATAATTTCAACTTCTTCGACCATCAGGAAGAGTTATCCGGAATAGAAGTTATCCTTAGCATTCCAGAATTTGAAGTAACAGCACGGAATTTCGTGTTTTCGGAAGAAAACCATGAACAACTATTGCACAAGTTAGAGGAAAGAATGGAACACATAGCAATAATCGAAATTCCTAACGTGGAAACTACAACAGGTAGTGCTGTAGAATATAATAAAGAAGTAACGAGTTTAAGTGGTCTATTTGAACGAATTACTGCTCAAGAATCGGCTGAACAATGCACGAAAATTATTACTGATCAGGTTGGACTTCAGATTAAAGTAGATATACGGTATGCTTCAAGTGAAAATATTACGCAGGATATTGTTTTACATAATCAAATGGAGCAATGGACTGATACAACGATTATTCCAGAAGTGATAACTATTCAGGAGTATATGGATTTGCAGCCAACTGCTGAAAGTTTCATTGTACAGCAGTCTGTTTTGGAAAGGATTCGGGATAATTCTTTGGAAATATCAACAAGTATCAGAAGCAGTAGAACAAAGAAAGCATATGCTAGGTATCCGGAAACTGGACATGAGGAAGAAGCATTAGTTACTGGATGGAGTAAAGTTCTAAGAAAGGCAACAACGGAAAAAATGATACCAACTGGACAAGCACAAACGGAAAAGCTATCTACTGTAGCGACAATAGAAGAAAATGTTGAATTTTCGAGGATAATTGAAAAGATGGAACCTTTCGATAGCATTGAGCTAAACTATTGTTTACAAGAAATTGCTAATGATGAGAAGCAACTAATGGTAGCTTCTGAAACCGGCGAACATTCTTTGCTCAAGGAATCTTCCAAGGAAGTATGTAACAGTGTGATACCTGACCTGGAAATCATTCAAACTCAAGCACATCTTATTGAATATGGCGCTGCGCAAATAGCATTAGCAGGTTCGTTTGCAAGATTAGAACATCAGGAAATGGTGGAGAATGTAGAGATACAAATTGCTGCATCAATGAAACTTCAAAGTTATTTCGATATGCATTGTGCTGCTTCAGAATCTGTCTCATTGCAAATACAGCTAGAACGCAACTGTAATAACAAATTGGATGAAAGTATTGTTAGTATTGTACAAAAACCGATTGTAAAATTCACGATGAATTTGAAAGAAATATGTGAAGAAGTAAACAACCTGGTAGGTATATTCGAGACACCGGTTGAGCATGTATCAAACGTTGAACACGTTTTTCCGGATGAGATATGCAAAGCAGCTTCGTTATGCATTTATGAATTCGGTAACGAATGCCAGCAATATATGATGCATTGGGATATGATACAGAATGCATTATCAGCTGAAGTGTATGTTGCAGTTGCAGATGTAAGTGATATAGCTTGCACCATTGATGCAGTAAAGCAAGAAGATGTGCAAGTTATTGAGCAAATTAAACATCCAGAATCGTTGGGATTTACAGATAAAACAATTTCTCTCAAAATTCATGCATCTGAAACTGGTGACTGGAAGATTGTTGAAGGAAATGCTGAAGCTATATTTCAACGATTTGATGAACAAATTGCTAGGCAAGCAATAAATATTAGCATTGGATATTCCGAAAAGCAAACCGGAACTTTCCAAGAATATGGTTCTGCCTTAACGGAAACTATTATCCATTTTGCAAGGATTTTGAGGACAAAAGTTGAAAATTATGAAGTGAGAATATTAAATAGCATTAGCCGGCATTGGAAAGAATGTCTAAATTTAGAAGCTAGCAAAGAATGTATCGAAAATTTGGAGAAATCGTTAGTAAAAGTTGAATCGATCGAAATGATTAACCGTATCCGGCATGAAGTGAATCATGAAACAGTTGCCGTTAATCTTATTACAAGTTCAGAAATTGATGAGACTTATGTAAGCACATTTGATAAACAATCACAATGCCAATCATCAAATATTATCATAAATGATCATAATCAGGAATCGATTATCAGTGAGCAATATGTTGCACAAAATGAGATTGCAAAATTACTTGATACAACATGGAGTGTTATTGTGAACGATTTTGATACTGCTATTAATATCAGTGAATCTAACCGTGCGCAAATAACGCTTAATACTGCAGCTAGTAAAGAAGTACAATTGGAAAGTAAAAATACGCTATGTATGCAAACATCTGATGAGAATGCTTCTGCACGTTTTCCCACAATTACCGCTATTTCAGGCGGTGAAAGACAATTTAAAATAGAATCTAAAATAAATGAAAGCGTACTAATACGTCAACAAGAAGAATTATTTGCTGAAAGTGTACAAAAAGCAATAATTCGTGCTGAAAATTTAGCAGAATCTATTGCAGAAACTTCTGAAGTACATTCAGATGCTGGAATTATGTTAATGCGCCGTTCCGCAACCAGAACAACTGGAGCTGCTTCACATGTTATTGGCATTGCTTTAACATTGTCACAACAATTGAAAACGCAATATGCTCAAGAGATTAGCAAAGAAGCAAGCGTGGAATTCTCTATTCCGGCATCGAACTTGGAAATAGAAGATAATATCCGTCAGTGTGTTGTCAATCGAGATACTGTAAGTCTAAAAACTGAATATGCGAGGGCAAGAGCACTGCAGGAAACTGTTGAATTAACAAAATCACGTAAAATATTAGCTGAAACAGAAAGTATTTTGAAAGGAGCGCATATGGATGTTGTGCATGAAAAGTTGAAAGAAGCAGATTCAGAAGGTTTTGAAATTTTGTCACAATGGACAACTGTTGATCGAGATTTGGAAGCAGAAGTAAGATTGCAACACAAACATAACATTGTTAGTAAATTCTCAACAATTGCAACTATCGAAGAAGAAATTTCAATTGATGAGAAGTGGATAGCAACGGAATGTAACTTGGAGACATGTGCAATTAGACGGATCATTGCAATCGAGAACTGTCAACGCAGTTTCCAAATTGAATTTGATGAATTGAGGATACGACTGGAAAATTATGAAAAAGAAGGAAATTATCAAATAATTTGGTGTGATAAGAATTACGATATATTACACGTATCCATGCGTGAATCAATTGTGGAAAAATTAAACGCAATGATTAATCTTCATCGCGTATCAAATGTTTTACCGAAGCAAACAACAAATGAATATATTTGGAATGATAAACAATTGATCGTTGCTCTTCCATTATATGTCAAATGTGATGATATCATGACAGATTATACAACGATCGATATTTGTATCGAACAGAAAGTACCACGAGAATATCTTGAAACTGTTAAAATTTCGGCAAATTGGATGGAAATGGAAATTTTTGAATGTGAACAAGCTGGAGATGAAAAATTCCGCATGATTGTAGAATTGGAAGGAAAACGATTGGCTCCATTTGGAGTAGAAATGATATGGCCTGAAGCTCGAAAAGATGGTGGTATCATTGTTAATATGGAAGAATATCTGATTGATGAGATGACAATATATGCCCAAATAGAATCTAAACAAGTAACATTTGCGGAATCCAACACGACAATTAGCATTAGTCAGGAGTATGAACCACAAATGCTAATAACTAATACAACAAAAGAAGAAATTATTGATGGATACGATGAATTTAGTATAGTATCGGAGGATAAAGCTATTACCTATGTAATAATTACCGGTAACAAAGGTGAATGTTTATCGATATGGTTACAAGAAAGCAAACAAAACTTTATTACTATCGGATTTCAATATAGTGAAGAAGATCAAACATATGAATTGGAGGGTTATTTTGTTGAGAAACGTTTCGGTGGTAATTATCAATTAGTAACAAAAGCGCCACAAATCGAAGATCGTATTACTAGCATGGAAATGTTGCGCCAAATTGAAAATGAAGCAATTGATGAAGTCTTAAAAGAGAATGTTAAAAAATTCGCAATGATGGAAGTATTAGCGCCAATATCTAAAGTAACATTTGTTAATATTAACTTGGAAAAAACGCCACAAATGCAATTTGCATCAATGCAACAACATTGCGCACGAAAAGCGGAATCGATTAGAAGTTATTTTCCGGAAATTGTTGAAATTATGCATACTGTATATGCAGAATTCAAGAAAAAAGAAACTTCATGGAAGTTTTTGGTCAATTGGAAAGTTTCAAATTATGGCGGACATTTGACATTAAATACAGAATCTGCTGAAGAAACAATCTTGGACCGTCAAATTGATTATCACAAAAATGAAGCATTTGAGAATACAATAAAAATTTTAAAACAAGTGATAACAATAACAGTACCAGTATTATCAGTACAACAAATTATTACGGTAATGGAAGAAATTAGTATGGATTTTGTAAAACCATCACTTATGGATCATACTCATTTACTCCTTAAACAAGCTAATCGAGGTATCAATATTGAAGTAAAGTTAAATGAAACAACGGATATAACAGAATCAAGCTATCTACAGTTTGCGAAAGAAGTTGAATCGATAGGGTTAGAAAAGATGATAAAAGAAGCTCGATTTGGTGGAAAATTAAATCTTACTACGAATGCTTCGGAAGAATACGAATTGAATGTGACGCGAGAGCTTACAAGTGACACTATTCGGATCGCTCACTGTAATCAATTGAGAGTTGATAAAAATTACAATCGTGATGCTTATTGTAAAGTGATTGCTGCAAAGTCAGAATCTGTTGATATGCACATAAACTTACAGAATCCGGAAAGTACAGATGATGCTAAATGGACTGTGCGTCAAAAGTTACAACTGAGGGATATTTTAACGATACACGAGAGTGAAGCAATTATGTTAACTATTAATTTAAATTATATCAAACAAAGAGTAAAGGAATTTTCAGAGAAGACGATAGAATTGCCACGAAATGCTGAACCATGCATCCTGATAACATCTGCTACAACAGATGTGGAAAAATTCATACAATGGATTCTAGAGAAACGACGTGATACTATTTTAGGTTCTTCAACAAATATTCTAGCTAAAAATATTGTTAAACTTCTTCCATTCAATACGATCCAATCGAAATTTATTGAAACTACCATTTATCCAAATCTTGAACGCATTGCTAAAATGCTGGAAGTATGCAAAACTTTGATAGCACCTAATCGTGGTTACAGTATGGAATGGAAATTGCATGAAATACGTGAAGAAAATGAATACTCCAATTATCATTTCAAACAGGAGAATCTGATGGAACAAATTGGAAAGATTCTACCTCAAGCATGCTATGGTGGACATCCAATCTTGAATGCTTCTGCCATGAAAGAATGCATAATTGATGTGATACTTCGATTGGAATCAAAATTACCAACCAGAGCTGAAATATATTTTTCAACTAACATATCAAATAAAAGCATTCCTGTTGTATTTTCGGCAAAGTCAACAGTTTCAGTCGAAAGTAATGAAGTGATTAATTTGGAACGAAAATCTGAAATCAAAAATGTAGCAATTATTCGAAAAATAGCAAATATCGAAATGGCGCAAATTGTTGCAATGGAAAGTAGCTTCGAAACAGAAAATATTATCATAAACTATGATCATAAGGAAGAATATGCAGAAATTCCGATGATAACATATATTGCACTTTATGGAGGACATCAAAAACTTCAAACTTTAGCAGCAAGCGCAATTGTTGCTGATATCTATGAAGAGTTTATGTCTAAGCATGTGATAATTGCGGAAGCATGCTTGCATCAAATGATTGCAAATGTTGCAATTCCATGCAAATTGTCAATGCAATCAAGCAAATTTGAAGAATGTAATCAAGAATATCATTTGCAAAAGAAGCGGATCTCTGAGAATGACGTTGCACTAGCATTACGTGTCGCCAACAATGCACTTGTCAAATTTAGCACGACAGAAAGTACTAATGAAATTGAAACAATCAATACACATTGGGAACGTAATGAAATGTATGGCGAAGCTCGACTATGTATTGATGACAAACGTTTTGGTGGAAGTTTACGACTATCAACTTATTTTGCTCAAGAATCTTCAATCTTATTCACAGCTGATTTAACAGCTTCACGTTCCAATTTGGAAAGAGTTATTTTCACGATACCTACTGTACGTTATAACATGGAAAAGCCTATACTTGCAACATCATCTAGTACTGAAATGTATGCTGAAATTAGTTGTCATTTGAATCGTCCATCTATTGGTCAGCAATCAATGATCACCATTCACATCGCTAATCAGATTGAAGCAATAATTATTCAACTAACCGAAAGTACTATCATTTCTGAAACCACTAATATACAATATCAGCGAGCAAATGCAGTTGTTGATGCATTTTCAGAAGTCTTTCCGGAAGTACGTTTTGGTGGATCATTGATTCTGAATACTTTGGCTACTACAGAAGCACTGATCGGTATACAATCTTTGCATAGTCCTCAAGGTCCGAAACAACTTGAAGTGCAAATGATTTTTATGCAAAAAAATCATGCAAATGAAGTGTGTCGTATATTGGCAACTACAGAACAAATAATTACTGCTAGCGTACAATTCCAAAAACCAAACGATTCCTTCAGCACTCAGATCACAAAATGTGCATCACATAGAGGTGACAATCAATGTTTGAAGTTGACGGAACCATCCGAAATCAATCAATTTAATAATTTTTCGTGGAAAAATTCTACCGAAATCAATGCTGGACAGGTCATTATTTTGAAAGAAATACGTTTTGGTGGTCATTTGAAATTCACTACTGGATATGCTAGTGAAAAAGCCGTTACGATTACGGATACATTAAAGCAAACTTCAGCTGAGTTAGTTTCTACAATATCAAGGAAAATCGCAAATCAAGGTGAATCAATAAGTATAGACTGTTTAGCTTCACAAGAAAATCATCTCTTTATTAATCTGGAATTACAATCCAACAAATTGTCACAACTGGAGATTTCCGTAAACCGGAAGACAGCAAATCGTGAAGTGCCACAACAGTTGATTACGAATGAATTCAGTGAATTGATGCAAACAACTAATGTTACATTGCAAAAAGCTTTAGATTATAAATTGGAGCAAATTGCTTGGAAAGCAAAAAATAAGGGCGGAATAATGGAATTGCAATGTATTGATTCAAGAGATTATCTAGAATCTCAGTTATCATTGAAACAACATATTGCGTTAATGCTAATAATCGATGAAATACGCTTCGGAGAACATTCATCAATGAATATGATAGCAACCAAAGAAACAATCTTCAATTTTGATGTATCATTTGAAAAGCAAGATATTTCAAGCATGCAAAGCTATACCTTTAAAGCAATGAATAGCACATTACCGGAAATATTGGAAACAACGGAAAGTATGGAAACAGGAATAGAAATTGAAAAAGTAGAAGTGTGGAAGCGTGTTAGTGAAATGCATGCAGAATGTGCAATGAAATTACCTAGACAGTGTTTACCTGTATCTTTGCAAACAGATTCCGCTGAAGAAACGTTTATACGGCATGAAGCGGAAATGCATGTTAACGTGCAACGTATCGATGGTGCAGTAGAAATTGCAAAATCAGCAAGTATAATGGAACGTGAAGCATTAACCTGCACAGAATCTCTTGACGTGACATTACGACATAAAGCTCTAGATGAGGAGGATGAAGAAAAAGTGGAAAAACGGTTAAATTTTTTTTTTTTGAACTTATCGAATTTTTTTTTTATAAACAATTTTATAAGTTTTGATTAGTTATTTATGATTTTCATTTCCATTCTAAAATTTAATTTAAATTTTAAACAATAAGCAGTGATCTGATTATCAGTGTTATATTTTACTTATCACTGTTATTTTGTTAGGGTAAGTTTTGCGGCTGAAGTAACCGAGAAAACAATGTCAATGGATATGAGTGTAACAGTGGAACAACGACAGACACCATTAATTATTAAAAAACCGATGAAAAAAGAACAACATGGTCGACGACCAATATTACGACAAAATGAAGCTCCAAACTTGTATGCAAATTTCTTATCAGTTTCTGTTTTTTTTTTACCTATACTTAAATTAATCAACTTTTCAAATTAAACATGCTTTATTGACAAGTGATTAAATTATTTCTGATTAGCAGTGATAGTGTTTCTAGAATCAGAAAAATTAATGAATGAACAGATTAAGTGAAATGATAAAGGACAATTAAAATAATCGATATGATACATGTAAATGATTTAATCATTTATCATTAAAACAATAGTCATTTTGAGAAAGTTAATTATTAAATTGGTAAGGCATTCAATTATTAAAGTATTCAATTCCTATTCTTTTTTTCCATCTTAGATCCATTTCTGCTAGTATTTTAAACGTATTTGATGTTAAAGCTATTAAAATAGCATATTTGGCGTGAAATGAACAATCGAATAAAAAGCATTTTTAACTTAACAATATCAAAATATGAAATGACACAATGTTGAAAAGTCAGATAACATTGTTATAAGATTTAATTAATTTCTGTTTTTTCTTATTTCGCAACATTTTTGACATATACAAATAGAATTTTCGAAATTAATTTCAAATTTTCACTCAAAATATCATTATTTTCTTTTTTCCAGTATACCAGTACGTCGTAATAGCTTGTTGTTAGCAATGGAACTTGGTGATGCGCATAATATACCACATTATAAAACGTTGGAAGATGTCATCAGGGGTATTAAAAAAGTATAACTTAAAACTTCATTATAATAAAATATTTCTAGCTGGAAAAAAGTTCTTTCGCCGAAATAATAAAGCAGCATGATACTGTATTTTGATTATTTAAAATTAGTTCAAAAAATATCAATACATGTCATCTCTAATTTGAATATCAAAACTATTTGTCACATAACGATAAAGCTATTACTGGTATTTTTCTGAAACTTTAGAAACTTCGAGAAACATTAGAAACTTCAAAAAGTTCAGAAATTCTGAAAAACTTCAGTATACTTACACCCTAATTAATTGCAATTTGCAAATTTTAGGCTGGTTTAGAATATTCAAATCTAATATTTGGAATTGATTATACACGATCAAATAAATATCAAGGTGAGAGAACATTTGATGGGCGAAATTTACATGCTCTTTGTTCAGATGAAATGAATCCTTATCAACAGGTATTTTTTTTTTTCTTCCTATATGTACGTAAAGTAGTGTATAAGTTACCATTGAAAAGTACCGAGCATCAAATGTAGTAAATGTTACTTAGTGATACATTCATTTGTGATTTTGCATTATTATATAAAAAAATTTAACAAACAACAGAATATATTTTCCAAATTTTAAGAATAATATAATTCTTAATAATCGACTTACCAGTTGATGGATTATGTAATATTTGATAATTGATTTATCAACTGATAAATTAAATGGTCAGTTTTCCATTTTTTTAAAAACATTTTAATTCAAATTTTTACAAAGAAAAAATATATACTTCTATACCTTGTATTTAGGGGACCAGAAGGACCTTTTCTTTCAATTACCAATATCAAATTTTCGCAATAATGAAATTTTGTAAATTTAACAGGTAATCGAAATTGTCGGAAAGACATTATCATCGTTTGATGCTGATGGTGTGATACCAACCTATGGATTTGGTGATGAGGAATCAAGTAGTTATGGTATTTTCAATTTAATTGATAGGAATGATATGAATGCTGAATGCAATGGATTTGAAGGTTAGTTAACTCTTAAGCATATATAACAAACATATACCTGGAATGAATGAATGAACTTTGTCGCGTAAAATTTGAGCATTTAAAATTCGAAATTCAACTCTCGTAAATGCGTTTTAAAGTAAAGCAAAGAAATTTTTTTCAGAAGTTCTAAGGATATACAATGAAAAAACACCATCTATTCAAATGTCTGGTCCAACAAATTTTGTACCGCTTATCGAACAGGTTCTTTGTTGTTGTTTTTTTAAATACTTTTGAGATGAAATCAAATCAAGTTTTATTTCTAAAATGTTGACACTTCAATCATTTGCTTTTCGAAATTTTATGTGACTTTGAAATAGCATGTAAATTTGAAATCGAAACCCGAATAACTTATACTGGTAATCAAAATTCAAATAATTTACATCGATCGAAACTCGAATAATTTACATTCGAAATCAAAATCCGAACAATTTATATTGCCGAAACTCAAATAACTTACATTTAAAATCGAAAATTCAAGTAATTCACATTCAAAATCGAAATTCGAATAACTAGTATTAAGGCAGTATCAATTGTCCGTGAGAAGCACTCATATCATATCTTGGTGATTGTTGCTGATGGACAAGTAACGAATGAAAAGATCAATCAGAAGGCTATTGCCGCAGCGTCACGTTATCCATTATCAATTATTATGTTCGTTTTCTTTTTTTTGATTGTCGTTTCAAAATTAAATTTCCAGTTTTTAATATAAGGTTTTTAATATCGAAAAATTTTTTTCAAACTTTAGAATTTTTAATTAAATTTTGACTTTGAATTAAATTTAAATTTTAAAAGTAAGAAGACGAATGAAATTCTAAGAGACCAACAACTTTCATTCTTATTTTTATTTATTTATTTTTTTAAATTCATTTATCAATGTGTACAATCTTATTCTAGGGTTGGTGTTGGTGATGGACCGTGGAACATGATGACCAGATTCGATGAAACATTACCAAAACGAATGTTCGATAATTTCCATTTTGTTGATTTCCATAAAGTAAGTTACTGCGTTTCCCTAGTTAAATTTACAAACTCCCTTTGTTATCCATAAAAAAAAGAGAAACAAACGGAATGATCTGTAGCATAAAATGAGTTATAATATTTTATTATTTGTAACTAATAATGAGTTACACCTAATATTAGTTATGACTAAATTATGACTAATACACAAATATAATATTGATACTTTTTTTTAATAAATATCGCACAACATTTTCAAAAATACACTTTCCTTAAAAAAAAAAATCTTTTCCTATTTATTTATAATTCAACCTTATGTCTAACTTACCTGTTAAGGTGATGTTCAATGCTCCAAATCAGGAAGCATCATTTGCACTTAATGCTCTCATGGAAATACCCGATCAGTATAAAGCAATTAAAGAACTTGGCTTATTAAAGCAATCACGGCGTGGCTAGATGAAAAGCAGCGACAGCAATAAGAAGTTTGTTTTCACTCACTGGAATAGATGGAAGATGAAATTTTACGAATTTCAACGAAAGTATTTAATTGAAAAGGAAATAGTAATTGGATTTAGTATAAAATTCACAGTGTAAATTTAGCGTAAAAATTTTCATTATTTCCAGTTCTCTTTCTTGCAAACATATCTTTCTAATTTCAAATTTTAAAACCAGATTTGGAACTTTTGAATTCCATGACAAAAAAAGTTCAAATACTGCTTAAAATCTCCATGAACCTCGATGGATTTAGCATTGAAACAATTTGAAATCTATTCCATTTGTAAAATTATTTAATAGCGCACCATAATGACAACTGTTTACTGTCTTCGAATAAATTAAGATTAAACAAACCTAAGCTGGAATAGTTTGTTCGAACTGAATTGACAATTCAGAAAACTGCTCACTGAAAATGTTTCCCGCAATATTTCATTATTGCCGTAGATTAGATAAATATATTTCCCCTCATTCTTTTTTTTGCTGTATTGTAGCAAATCAATCTGCATAACAATGCCTCTAATGTGCTGAGTGCAGTGCAACTCGTTTGTACCTTACCATTAGGCGCAAAACCTTTGTTCGCCTTATATTTTTTTCTCACGCATTCTAAATGTCTTTTTTTTATAAAAAAGACAGCATTTTCTGTAATTTCTCACTTTAATATCTTATATGTGGGCTTTCTCCAACTTTTTCTTCTCTTTTTAATTAGGTATGAAGAAATGGAACTGTGGAAGACTTGAACGTCTCTAAAATCCACTAAATTTAAGGTATTCATCCATGTACACTATTATTAATAGAACTTTTGCGAATTTTAAATTGCGAACAATTCTGTTATACAATCCACTTCATTTAATGTGTAAATTATCTATGGAAAATAAAGAACATGAAGTACAAATGATGTCAAATGACCACAAATTATTTCACTATACTACATAATCATGAAAAATGTAGGATTTGACCTTAAAATATTCCTCCTGAGAAAATCTCACCTTGGTATCTTACCGTGGCGTAGGGCAACATCAGTGGCAATATAATGAAATGTCAACTCTGTCACAAGCCGAAAAAAAAACGAAAAATTGAAAATCGAAAAAACATTATGCATTAGTCGATTTCTTTTCGGCTGAGCAAGAACAAATATTAAGGAGGGTAATAGATTTAAAAAAGCTATAAAAAAGTATAGAATTGTGAGTAATATTCAGCACAAGTAATTCTGAAACTATGTGTATTGAATTGATAATCCATTAAAAATTCTGTTTAGCAAAATACAATTCACGATAAATTTGGAACAAATGCTTGAAACAAATTACAGTGCAATGTTAATTGTATTCTTTACCTGATCATTTCTTCTTACCACCCCTTTCCTTGATTAATAATTGTACGACAGCTCCGGTATTCATGTTATAATACGCCAAAGTGCAAGCATCTTTCAAAAATAATCCCTGAAAATGACACCACCTGATCAATTTATGCAAAAGGAATATTTTTAAAAAGACGACAGAAACAAAAAAAAACTGACACAAACAGAATTTGAATTTGAATGCACTACTTTGGAAAAATTTTTTTTTAAATGAATGTGTTACTTTGAAAAAATGTGGATGTATTAGATTTTTAAATTCCGTTCTTGAACATTATGATTCCACGTAATTCGAAAAATTTACCTCGTAAGACAGCTTCTGCTTTGAACACGGTAATCCAGTCTCGTCCTGTACAAAGCTTTTCAGCGTAGAAACCTGAACTTATCGTTCGTTTATTTGATCAGAATTTGAAAATTGATCGTTCAGACTATCAGAAGTTATGTGATTCCAATGAGATTTTCAAATTTCATCAGCAGAAATTAGCAAGTGCAAATTTGAACATACCGGTGCAGCAATATCCATAGAAACACTTAGTCGTCGCCCATCAAGTTTCCAGTCCGGATTAGGAGCAGTGCTAGGTATCTGGACACTAACTGTAATTGATCCGGTGACCTGAAAAACCGATATATTATTAAGTGATTGCAATAATACAACTTTTCGTTATTGTTGCATACAAAATTCTTAAATCTCTTATAATTAATGACTTTGAATCATATGGGTATTACAGTTCATAAGGTCGGAAATCTATGATTCTGAGAAACTAAATCATTTAAAACTTCATGTTGACTGAAAAACCTCAAAGAATACAAAAATACCTTCGTAAGCCAAACATCTTCACTTTCAAGTTCATCTTCTGTTCGAGCCTTTTTAGCAGGTGGAGGTCCCTCTCCAACAGGAGCATTATTAGCTGCATTTGTATCAACTACAGGAGCTGTTGAAGTTGCAGGTGGTGGAATGGGAGCTGCTATCGGTGCAGTCGGACGAACGGCAAGTGGTGTTTGCGGAATTACCGGAACTGGTATCATTGGAACTCCAATTGGCGGCTGAAAAATAGGGCATTTTGATCACCAATTGGAGTTTTTAAGCTTTTGAAACCAAGCTTTAACAGAAAAAATCTCGAACTTCTTCGTTCGTGTCAATCATAGTGGTCAAATATGTTCGCATACATCTTACATTTAAAAAAAAAAAATCTTAGAAGAAAGAAAATGAATAGTCCATTCAAAATAAACTAACTCTCATGACAGGCATTGGCATCGGTGGCATTGGCATTGGTGCACCTGGAAAAGGTATTGCAGGGAATCTGAAATTATCCATTCACTTATACTTTATACCATATTTCGAACTTTCGCTTTAGCATATATTTCACCGTATTAACTTGTTCAATTTTTCATGCAACATTTTATCTAAGGGTAAAAAATGGATCCTCATGTTGCAGTTCCTCGCCGGTAGTATTCAATGATAAAAACAAGAGTTATCAATGATTATCAAACGAAACGTGAAATAAGACAAACCCAGGCGGTGGTGGTCGGATAGGAATTTGAGGAATTACTGGTGATCGAACAGTTTGCGTTGGTGGCACCGGAGTTGGTGCAGTCTGCGGAGGTGGTACTGGTGGACGTGTAGTAGGGACAGGTGGTTTTGGCACTACCGTAATTGGTGTTGTTGTACTGGTTGCAGTAGCGGTGGTGACCGCAGATATTGTAGTTGCCACTACTGCCGGTGCTACTGTTGTAGTTGGTGGTGGAACTGTTTGAACTGGAGGAGGTGGTACAGCACCTGGTCCTATTCTCTCCTTGCTTGGATCAGCAATATATCCATGTTGTTTATGAATTTCATTGATTTGTTGGTCTGAAAAAAAAAGATTTTTACACTGGTTATTCTTCATAAAAACTCAATATTTTATTAAAAATATACTTAATAATTTGCTAAGTTGATTTCGTTTTCTGATCTCAATTATCAATGGCAAACTTATCGATTTCGCACCAGTGTCCTTTATAACCCTAACACTGATTGCGTAGATGAAGTTCTTGAGAGAATTTTCATTATGTATTATGCAATCTGCCATTTGTTTTAGATATTACCACTTATTTTGATATTTTCAACAGATTTACGTTAAAAAAATACCCAATGTAACGCTCTGTTGCGCTAATTTCGTTGTCTGATCGATTGTAGATTGCTGACCATCCCAGATAAGCTTCGGATCAGGACCACGTGGTGCCTCCTCCTCTTCACCAAGCTGAATATAATATGTCATAATCTCTTCCTTCTCCCTTTTATTTCCGAGATCACCATATACAGGGAATATCACCATATACAGGGAATATTCCGCGCGTAATTAATTTAAACACATATACCAATACTATTATAACCTCTACGGTAATAATGGCTCGGCTCACGCCAAGCAGCTCTATTTTAGATTCAACTAACCGAACATTACTTCATTACAATTAAGCCATTTAAAAGCAAATCAATCACTAAACATATTGGCATTGATTGGTTAGGTATGTGTTGGTCAAAAAAGATAAACTTACTTTTTTACCAATGATTGTCTGCTCTGCACCATGACCAAATATATCAGTACGACGTTCCGCAAACTTGCCAATATTCGTACTAATATCAGCACCTGGCGCATAGACTGGTTCCTCTTCGTTGCGATCCGACAACTCCCTAGAAAAAAAAAAAGGAACCAGTGAGTAAGAAATAAATATATTATGAGCATATCAAAAATCAGCTTTACAAGAAGTTTGCTTGGAACCTTTCTCGCTGTTCCTTATATTGCGAATCAACAGTATTGTAACGCATATGCTCCTGTAATTTGTCAGCAGGTATTCGCTCTCCAGTAAGAGGTGAAATAATCCATTTGTCAGCAGCTTTTCGTGCAGCTATTGCTGAAATAATTGAATAAATGCTGAAGTGAAGCGCTAAAATTTAAAGCAACCCGCAACTTATAACTCATCATACACCGATGAATAAAAAGGGAGAATGGAAGAATTCCTTCATAATCTCGATTATTTCACGATTCCAGAATATATAATAGCCGCTCTTCCTAGTTTTATTTCGCAGACCTTTTGCGTCTACTTATCGCTGTCTCTCATGCCATATCTCTCAAAGAATCTCTAAAGATTATACTTACAACCAAAAATGATTTCAATAACAAAAAATAAAAGGTAAAAACAAACATTTCTTCGGATCATAATCTCTAATTACAACGGTATCTTCCGATGGTGGCGCAGGCATCGGTTGAGTTACTTCATATGGAGCTTTCTTTTCATGGTCAGCATTACCATTTTCTACTTCGCCATTTGTAACCTGAAGAAAGATATTAACTGTACTTCACATAGCACTTAAATCTTCCTTATTAACTAATCCTCAACTTCCCATAATTTCTCTTTATTTCGGAAATAACATTATTTTAATTCAATATTTCTGATAAATAAATTCCAGATTTCTGGGTAAATGTTAATGCCACAAAACTTATCTTACCTTTAAACTAGTACAACAAATAACTAATTCCAAAAGAAGTTTTAATATGAGAGAAAACAATCTATGAAACGATCCATAGGAAAAAAAGTGGTACGTTGAAAAGAAAAAAATACTCTTGAAATTCAAAAAAATATTTGTTTTGCACATCGCTAGATTTCTTTAATCCTAAACTATTCTATAACATCGTTTTGTTTGAAGAAACAACCTTGATTCTTTAAAACATCCTACAAGCAGAGGCACCTATGTACTGCACCACAGCGAGCAGCACAACGAATTAACAATGAAACAACCTACTTCATTGCGAATTTCCTGATGCTCCTCATCCGAGTCTGATTCAACGTCCATCTCTACCGCTTGTTCTGCAGCTGCTTTGGCTGCTGCCTCCTGAAAAAAATACAAATATGACTGAAATTGACTCGTTCAATTTAATGATGCTGTTTTATGTAAATACGGTACTCCCTTGTAAGTTTTTTTAAAAAAAAAAGGAAAAAGAACAAAAACAAACAGAAATGCAGTCTTTCATTCAGTAACAAAGAACAAATAGCATCAAAAACTGCAGTTGACTGAATCTTTACCAATATTTACTACGGTGTCGTACTAAAAAAAAAATTTGAGTATTCGTTGTCGATTAAAAAACTTATCTACCTGTCGTTGTTGCATCAAAATTCTTGCGCCAACATCTTTGGGTGTACAGAATGGTGGTAAGGTTGCTGAAATTACAAATCATAAGAACGACAATAGAACTATTGACAGAAATAATTGACAAATGACAGAAGTAATCAAAAAAAAAAGTGTTATTCAATTCCCCCTCTTCCGTGATACTCACACGATATACAGAATTTATTAAGCACCACGCTAAACGCTACGCAGATTTCAAAAAAGATCATGTAGTTCAAAGATAGATTTTTTCCTCATAGGTAATTCAAAATGCAAAAAAATAGGAGCATCAGTATATTACATCTGCAGTTTATTCTAGTTAAATCTCGAAGGAAAGACGAATTAAGGTTGCCTTATGTGTCTTATCCTAATTTTCTAAATAACTCATGGCAAGATCACCAACTGATAATAACGTGAAGAGAAAATCCGATGGAGACATGTTACCCATCCTGCTAACAACAGATGTAAGTAATAAGCATGTAAATGTAGCTGACAGGTAAGTCTAGCAAATTCCTAATACAGAATATTTAGAAACAAAACAGGTTTGTTTTAACTGGAACATACTTGCCTACAAGAGAAATCAGGAGGATAGCTCACACAGTTTTACTCAATGTGTGGTGTTATTGTAATAGAAAATAAAATAAAATATCTAGAGCCCTTTAAAGTTTATATGAGATGTTAATGAAGTTTACCTGTGTCGTTGATAGGGAAATCAACAGTCTGAACTACAACGAAATCATGCCAATCAATTTGTGCATAGGCTACTCGCTCTCTCTCAATCTGTCAATAAAAAGTACAGTAAGCACCTGATAGCTTACGAGTATATAAAAAGAACTAAGTGAAGCATAACGTCATTAACTTTTCATATGCATCGGATATTGCATTACCGCCAGGTATTCCCTTATGGTTCAGGAAGTTGAAAAACGTATCCCTTCCAACTTTGAAAGTGGAAAGAATAGATTTAAATATTATTGAAGACGAAAAAGAAAGAAAAAAAGCAATACTCGATATCGCAATATTACTTCGATTAACCACAATCAAAGAATGAAATATAAAACAGATTAACCTCAGCATCCTCCTTCTCTTTTTGCGCCCGTTGATACTTCTCCCAACCAACTCGATACCTCACGTCTTCAAGAATCTTTTTTGTATTATCTTCCTCGGCTTTTAAATCTTCCACAATATTTTTTGCAGGAACAATAATCTAAATACAATGGAAACGTATTAAAAAAAAAAAACCATCTGTCAAAAACCGCCAAAAACCATCTGGTGCTTTTTCTCTTCTTTCCCCTCTACTACCCTTAAATTATGAATCCAAATTAGCACTTTCTATCATGGTTTAATATGTGAATAAAGAAAACAGAAGATGATCGCAAGTGTTAACTGTATTCATGAAAACATATGAGCTGAAAGATTGCTTGGACTAATTGAGTTAGATACAGGCAAAGATCAAATGTTGTTAACCTTGATCAAATAACTCAAATTTGGAGTAGTTAAATCCAAATTTGGGTGAAATATCAGAGTAAAATAATTCATTTCCAAATAAAGCTGGACCTTTGTGTACTGCTCGACGAGTTTCGTAAAATAGTTAAAATTTGAATGCTGTGGCTTCAAGAAATCGAACTGGTAGTTTCTCGATTCACGATTCATCAGTGAAGTTAGAAATTGTCGCCCATTACGTGCAACAAATAATGCTGTTAACTTGATTAAATCCCTGAAATATTCTGGGGTTATATCAGAAAACAGCAAACAGACCCTATAAATTTGAATAAATTTTTTGTGAAGTCACAACTGAACTCACAAATCAAATGCATTTATTGTAGCCGGATCAGCATCAAACTCGAATGGAGGTGGGGGATTTCGAGGTACAAACTCCGCCTGCTTCACATGCTCTTTTACTGCTTCTGGTATTTGTGGTCGCTAAATATGTTACAAATATGAATTCAATAAAAACATCATATGAGCACTGGAATGTAATTGAAAATTAATTACAAAAAGGAAATTTATCATGTATTGATGGAGTTTTTTTCAAAAGTATACATATGTCATATGATACTTTGCCCAGTGGTGGATACACAGCGACAAGTTCTATTTTCGTTTTATGTAAATGAACTTTAGTTTTCATGCACAGTATAACCAACACATTACTGTCATCATTCGTTAAATTCCGTTAAATCTATTTGACGTGTTATATTATTTCACTTTAAAATTATACTATATAATTTCATTTCAAAATCTTTGGAATGCCGTAATTCCGAACTTAAAGTTCAAAATTCAGAATGAAGTGAAAGTTTACCGGCACCGATGGTTCGGTTGTTTTCCCATCCCGAAATTCCACAACTTTATGCTGATAGTAAGCATTGTATGGATCTGTTGCACTCAGGAAGCTGAATCGCGGATTAGCCGTTTCCTTTTCTCGAATTTTATTCTCGAAGTCAATTCCATTTCTGGCAACAAATGCTGCTGTTTTATCGACAATTGCTAAAAGAAAGGAATTTCTTTTGTTAGATTCACTAACTATTAGTTGTATCACGGAACGTTTATAGCCCCAGATATGCAGAAAAATATGAAAAAATATCAGTATCGGACAATATAAATTTAACTTAATATTCACTTCTGTGAAAATAACACGTTTTGCTAACTTAACAATGTAGTAAAATGATGGAAAAATACTGATCAGTAACTTTTGATCACTTAGATAAATAAAATAGCAGCGTAAATCAAAAACTGAACTAACTTCTAATATCTGGTGGAGGGTAAATAATCCCGATAACCTGTCGACCGCTCATCGATGGCTCAGTATTAACAGAATCTTCCTCCCGATTCGAAACCATCACAACAGGTGGCATCGGCGGCATTTCTTAGGAATTTAATTTGATACTGAAAATAGATATAAAAAATAACGAGGAACGAACTGATAATAATTAGTCATAATAATTCTAAAACTCTCGCTAATGACTGGCTGATATTTATTCTGTGAAATACTCATCTACTGCTCTGTAACACTTCATAACCTGCAAGGTCTACTAGGTAAGGAGGAATACTTGACAATATGGGGTCCTTTCAGAGTTTCTTCCTATCTGTTTGATAATCAGTTAGCAATTTTCGTAACCAATTAATCATTATCAAACGAGTTGTAACTCGGACCAATTCAAAGTCCCATGTTCCATAACAGACGACTGAATATATAACCAACGTTTACTTTCATTTCCAATTACAACTTGAGTTTGAGCTCAGATTTCATGATTGATAGATTTTTACCAAAGTAATATTTCCCCCATCAAAAAAAATTTTTGCGTGTACATCACTATGAGAAGTTGCAACAAAAAAGCAGTTGGTTATTCAGAGTAATTGATCATCCCTAACAATTATATGTTGTCTTGCATATTGCATTCAAAGTTTTGCAACACTGCTACTACTAATACTCAATAAAAACTGATAATTAATTACAGTGACGGTAGTCATAAATCCCAACAGATATCAAAACCAGGAAAACTGGAGAAATTAGAATGTTGTCAAAGAAACTGGTAATGAATGATGACACAACCAACCAATCACATTAATGACGAAAACAAAACCCAGCAAATAATAGCCAACACCTGGAGGGACAAAACACCGGAGAAGTTATCAAAGAAAACAAGTTGTTGCAACTGTGTCCCATGAAACGATCTATGAAATTGGTGTCTCGAAGTAACATCGATATGCAACGGGGTTTGAATTGGGGTGAGCGCATTATGGTACAACGGTATTGGCAATGGGATTTAAATTTGGAATTGAGTTCGAATTCTCGAGATAATTTTTTATTTTGAATTTGAAATTTATTTTAAAATTTATTTTGTTTATTTATTTTGTCTATTTATTTTGAAATTTATTTGAAATTTATTTTAAATTTTAATTTGAAATGGGCTGTAAACACTGGTTTGAATTGGTCTGAGATGTGGAAGAACTCCATATTATAAACGAAGCCCGTAAGACTTTGACAACTTTCAGGACTGATTGAGAGTTGGCCTAAAACTTGGAATTAACTGGAATTTGGAATTATTTGTTGTCTATTTTTGCGATACCTTGATCCTTAACTACTACTGTTTGTTTCGGAGTCACTGAACTTTTGCTTCTTTTTTTTTTTAAGTCGAAGTTTTTAACCTTCGCTTTTCATGTTTCTCGCTTTAAGGCGAATGTTAATATATCCCAATATTCCATGAATGCTATGCTCTACGCAAAACATGGAGGATTATAAACTTCCTTTAATCATGCTCCTTTCCGTCCTGGATGAAATCTACATTATTGATTTTCAGGATCAGTTAATTAGTTAGTCGATGAAATTTTCGTGAGTTTCAATCTTTTGTGAGCTTGAAATAAAAGCTGAGTAATTTTCTGCGCATACTTCCCAATATACTTACGGCCATTTCGCTATGGAATGGATGAAATCCGAAAAATATTATGGAATAGTGATGCTTCGATTTTGTTGTTTCTCCAAATTCCAAAACAGAAAAATCTAAATCGGCATTTGGTTGTTGAAAATTGGCTTTATTCCATTTGTTAGACGAAGATATATTTCGTGCAAAATATCTAGCCCATTTAATCTCCTCATCCCATATCTCATTTACTTGTGATTCATTCTCATCTTTCTTCCTAATTTGCATATTGAACTTTTGATAAAATCCATTCGAGTTTAATTTAACTTAGTCAATTCTTCTATATTTCGAATTTGGATTGGTCTCATTTATTCTTACTGTATTATCAACAAATTAATTGCAGTAAACTTTGCTACTACGTGTTATTACATCGTATCTCACGCACGCAAGTCAGTTTTTATCAAATTAAGAACTACTAATAATAAACCTTTCGCAACATCCCTACAAATAATGGTGGTGGTAAAAGGTAGTATAAGCCAAATTTTGATCCAAAGCTTCTATAATCTAATCAATAAATAAGGAAGATAATTAACTTCCTTTCAATATGAACTAAATGAGAAAGATTTGAAAAAAAAAAAGAAAATTATGATGGCAAAAAAAATGAAAGGAAGTAATACAGATAGGTGGATATAAGGATAGCAATTTAAACAATTTCTTCCCATTCAAAATTTATTTTTTCGATTTTTCCAAGTGAAAAAGCTGTTTTTTCTAGCTCTCTAACTCTCTCTCTCTCTCCCTCCCTGACATATTTCCGGCTGGTTAAACTCTATCAAATTTATCTTCCAAAATTTATACCTGAAATTCGTTTGTGTTCATCATCCTTTATTTTCCTACTTTCATATTTCCAAAAATAATTTATGGATTCATTCCAGGTAACTAACGTTCACTTTTGCTTATTATTGAAATACATTATAGTTTCAGTAATATAAATGGATCCTGAACATATCATTTTCAACCCTATATTACTGGCATTACATAGAAAAAAGCAATTCATCTGATGGACAGAATTACAATGACATGTAACAGATCAAATACGCATGTACGATCGGATTAGATCAGACCCAGTATAACCGGTAAATATCATTAAATCGATATTTTAATCTAAAAAAAATTGTTTATTGGAATGATTCAGCTAACTAATAACTATAGTTTCCCTATTAAAATGGAAACAAGTCTGATGTTACCATTAGGAGAGAATAAAAATGTTGTATTTCTTAATTTGATAAATGTTCTGTAAGCATTAAACCTATTCCTTGAATTTTAACGAATAATTTTTTCTTTTGTCAGTTGTGCATTTTTGATTAAAGTAATGGACATTACCCCATTTATGATATCAACCTTATTTTGATAGAGATGAATATTTGAGGCAAAAGTGTTGGGAAAGTTTTCTTGTTGTCATCCATTGTTTATTTATTGATGAATGAGAAGAGGTCCATCACTGGTTCGACAGAGTCAATTAGGAAGAGTTTATAGTGGAGTTGAAGGAGATGAATATTGTCAATTTCTGGCCCGATCAACAATTTCCTCTTTAAGAAATGCCCACCAAATCGGTTAATGAGCTTTTATATTGTCTATAAGTGGGCTGGGCTTACAGTGTCACACAGCTGGATTTGTACATAAGGCGTTGTATAATTTAACTACCAAATGTACATAAGCTTAACATCAGACAAAGGGCATTGTTGGAAGATTTGAAGCTTAGATAATTGGCCTCATCACTTTAGCTATAGGAAAACGTTTTATTCTTTACCTTTGCGTAATGTGATGAATCCTTTTTCTAAGAAATTCTACAAATACTTCAACTACTTGTACATTTTATAAATTCCTTCGATTTTTTTCAACAAAAGGTTTTATTATTGATGGATAATTTCTTACCCTTGTACTTTATTATGCAATAATTAGAGAATATAATGGATCATTAGGTTGGTTTTCTTGTCGTCATTTGAAAGGAAATTTGATAAGTTTTGTTGAGTACTGACAAATCAGGACTTGGAATCGCGAATAAAAACCGATCAGGATCGTTATGAGTGAGTGAGGATTGATGATTTTAACTCTTTTATATAGTGGGAGTAGCTTACAACACTGAATACATGATTAGTTGTCAGGCAGGACGAATCTACATATGAAATAATTACCGGAATGCTAATATATGTACGATGTGTTAACCATTGAATGGCTATCAGATTAGATCTTTACAACATTCCCATCATTGTACGTAAGTTAGTTGTCAAACCAAATGTTCTTTATTGCATTGACAATTGCAAATGAACTTCATTATCAAACCGAACATTCTTTACAATGTTGTCGGATAAATGGGAGTTGGATAAATGACCCGTCACTTAAGCTATTGAAAACATTCATTTTGCTCTTTTTTTATGTTTGGAACCACTCATCTGGAACAAATCATTTGTGTGAAAAATTTCTCGTCAATATTTTTGCTCCCATCAATATTTGACTTTGTTCGCACTATTTATATTAGTTAGATACCTTAGTGCAGAAGGTTTTCTGACGGTAGTTTGTGTTTGTACACTAAATATGACAACTCAGCAACCTTCTGAATGAGACGTTTGGCTTTAGTAGTTAGAATTTTTGTCAAGTTAAATTTTTAAAATCAAATCGCTCCTGAGCTCACTTCAATGCTTATTTGTGCTCAGGAAATTGTAGCTCATTTAGTGATTTTTAATACAAATTAGTATTCCTTGAAGATTTTTCATTGCTCAGTTAGCGACCGTAAATTTTTAGTTAGCATCCAAGATTTCCACAGAATATATCGTTGGGTAGGTGTATGTCACTGATATTGCGAGTGGAACCAAAGGGTAAAAATCTTTCTTGTTGAAAATAGACATTACCGTATTTTATGTATTCATCGTTTTATATGTGTGCTAATAAAGGGTGTGCTACATGCGCTGCACAAAGACGTTAAAGTGTAATGTTAGGACGTCGCTACGGCTTTTCCGCACAAAGAAGCGGGGGAGTCCTGATCACATTAACTCTTAGTGTTTGTCACCGTCAAGAAGAAATCACTTGAAATTAATTACTTGATGATGAAGATATCAAGCAAGTTTTCCAATTTTATTCAAATATACAGGACAGTGAGAAATACCAAAAATAAAACAAATATCTTAGTGGGTGAAAACCAAAAGAGTATCGGGGAGGATATGAAAGACTGGAACTCAACAAAAGATGGATAAACAAGCTGTTTAGAATCTGAGGAGGGGAGCTGTCTAGAACGAAAGATATCATGAAGTTGGATAGATTTTCCTTCAGAATCTCGAAAAGTACTGTGATGTCGTCGTAAATGTTTGTGTATGAAGTTGTGCTCATCTTAACGAAATTGAAATTTTTTGACCAAATCGTTCGCAACACTGCTTCCTTTGAGTTTTATTCATAGCGATTTTATTCACGGCAATAAAGGAAAAAGTGAAATGCAATCACCACAACACAGAAGTTTCGTGAAAAAGTGACCACAGCTATATCCTTGCAACACATAACCGCCATGTCATTAATTCATGCGAAACACTTATCTGAGAAAAAACAAAACTTATCTTATTTTCTCTTCTTATTATCTCGCGTTATGCTAGTGTTTACGAGAACAAAGAAAAGGAAAGAATGAAAACATATTATGGGAAAATGTGCTGACTCACTGTACAGTACTTCCAGAAAACTTGTCCAGGCTGATCAACAGACTTATGAAGTCGACTTACTTAATTCATTCGCCTATTTTATTCCCGTTCAGATGGAATTTCGCAGCGGAAGTTTAACAAAATATTCCATTGTGATTTAATTTATCAATGTTTTAAATCTGAAATTGCCTTAAAGAAAAAAAATGCAGAAAATTGCATGGAACGTGAATATACCATGTGTTATTCATCTTGTTCCTCTGTTTTTTAAAACGACGGATTGTTGGTTTTATTGCAAAAATGACTTTATTCAATCTTCATGAACCGACGTGGAAAAATGTGCGAGTTACGTAATTACGAGAAAAGCTACGAATGGCCATAATAACTGTCGTCAATATTCCCGACTAATCCAGATTCTTTATCATCAGTCTGCATTGTTTCAAAAATCAGAACAAACTATTGTGAGAAAATAAAAGAAAGGGAGTTAAGAAGGTGAGGTAGATTGTTATTGTTCGTTGTAGAAGCTGTTATAATTTTAAAGGAGTGACTTACAGTGTATCGGTTCGTTTTGTGCTCGTAACTTACAACAGATTATCCTTTATTATCGTCTGGATACCAAATACAGTAAAGACAGGTTCAAATAATTCCAATTACAATAGAATGACTTCCAGGGTAAGGCCAGTAGAATGATGAGATTTTGTAAGGATTAGTAGATTGGAGAGTGTTTGCGTGAACTTGGGTGTCGACAGATGGGATTTTTGCAACAAAAGTAAAGACTATTAGGATTTCTAACGTTTATATAAGGAGTGTGTAAGGAGAAACAATGATAACAAATTAACGTATACTCACAGCTACCAGAGAAACTCCATATCTATATTAATTTATATTAAGTAGCTTTAATCA